AAAGGGTTTTTGTGAGGGTGAAGTGAGTTAATATATAAGAAGCATGCAGATGGGTGGTGCCTGTGGCTCGGTGAGTAGGGCACTGGCCCCATATACTGAGGGTGGCGGGTTCAAACCCAGCCCTGGCCAAATGCAACAATAAAATAGGTGGGCGTTGTGGCAGGCACCTGTAGTCTCAGCTACTTGGTAGGCCAAGGCAAGAGAATTGCTTAGGCCCAAGAGCTGAAGGTTGCTGTGAGCTGTGATGCCATGGCACTCTACCGAGGGCAACAAAGTGAGACTCTGTCTCTTTAAAAAAAAAAAAAAGAGGCATCCAGATAAGCACCTGGCACATAGCAAGCAGTAGTTTATTAATGATGATTATTTTACCTCCCTCATCCCTAGGTGTTATCTAAGTACCGCAGTGGGAAACTGCCCAAGGCATTTAAGATCATCCCTGCACTCTCCAACTGGGAGCAGATCCTCTATGTCACAGAGCCTGAGGCCTGGACTGCAGCTGCCATGTACCAAGCCACCAGGTAAAGTCTATAGGTGAAGGCTGGGCCAGGGATATACAAGCTTTGCCATTACATTTGAGCTTGTCCCAGAGCTCTCTTTTGTGCTTCTATATTTCATCATTTTCCTAGCTTTTCCTATTTCATTTTGGGGGGCCAAGATGCAGGTGGGAATCCCCTAGGATGAATTTCTAAGGGAGAGGTATAGCAACTAGGATACAACCCTGTCAGAGTGGCCTCAGAAGTCTGTGGCTACCTGGACATGCTCACGTCCCTTGGGAAAGTAGGGTGCAGAGGACTCATGCTGGGGAGAGGAAGATGAGTAGCTAAGGAACCATCAGTTCAGAAGCACTCTGGTTCTGCCAGTGACAGCATTAATCATTTGGGTACCTGTTGCCTCCCCTCTTCTTTCTGTAATCAAACCTTGGTTCTCTATGCTCACAGTTCTCCCACACATCCCTCATTGAGAGCAGTTCCATATATTACTTTAAAATCTCTTGCATGTGCACTGATACCTGAAGGGCCAGGTCCAGACCATCAGTGTGACTTAGGAACTCCCCTCTTATGCCCCACTAGGATTTTTGCCTCTAACCTGAAGGAACGCATGGCCCAGCGCTTCTACAACCTTGTTCTGCTGCCCCGGGTACGAGATGACATCGCTGAATACAAACGACTCAACTTCCACCTCTACATGGCACTCAAGAAGGCCCTGTTCAAACCTGGAGCCTGGTTCAAAGGTGGGAGCCCAGAGGCAGGGAAGAAAGGGAAAGGCCAGGCTTTGGGGGGGGGGGGGGCAAAGCAGCAGACCTGACTTGAGAAGTGGCTGTCTCTAAGGCCAAGTTTTAGTCCCTAGGGTCATGGGGAATGCTTCCTACTATAATACCTTTCTCCCACCCTGGACTCAAAATGACTGCCCTCTGATCCTCCCCAGGGATCCTGATCCCACTGTGCGAATCGGGCACTTGTACCCTCCGGGAAGCCATCATTGTGGGTAGCATCATCACCAAGTGCTCCATCCCTGTGTTGCATTCCAGGTAGTGTTGATGGGGGTGGAGGAGAACTGGTCAATATTCAGATAATGGAATTGCCGGGACTTGGGGATGGTGGTCAGAGTAGGGAAGGAGTTAACATTAGCCCTTAACTCCTTGGGTTTGTGGCTTGTTTAAACCAGTGGTTATGTCCTTATTCCACTAGAATAAAAGCTCCACAAGGACAGTCCCAGCCTGGCTTGTGGTATGTGCTCCATAAATAGTTGAAAAAATGAATAGGGAACACAGGAAGAAAGGAGATTAGGGGTGGAGATGTCAGGGTGTTTGGACATACTCCAGCTGGTTATTGAGACCAACAGTCTAAGCCAGAGGTAGCAATTTGGGATGGATCTGTCTAGAGATGATAACTGGAGTCAAGAGAGTATAGTAAGATTGGGTAGGTGGGAAGGAGACCTGAGATTGCTCTTTTAGGAATCCTATAGTGTAAGAGCTGGGGGCGGGAAGAGGGGAAGAGCACAGAGGTGAGCAGAGGTGAGGTGAAGTTGATCCTTCTCTAATCCCACCCAACCTCCCTTTCCCATCAGTGCGGCCATGCTGAAAATTGCTGAGATGGAATACAGTGGTGCCAACAGCATCTTCCTGCGACTGCTGCTGGATAAGAAGTATGCACTGCCTTACCGAGTGCTGGATGCCCTCGTCTTCCACTTCCTGGGGTTCCGGACAGAGACTCGTGAGCTGCCTGTGCTCTGGCACCAGTGCCTCCTGACTTTGGTCCAGCGCTACAAGGCAGACTTGGCCACAGATCAGAAAGAGTCCCTCCTGGAACTGCTCCGGCTACAGCCCCATGCACAACTGTCTCCTGAAATCAGGCGTGAGCTTCAGAGTGCAGTGCCCCGAGATGTGGAAGATGTTCCCATCACCATGGAGTGAAGAAACAGTCACCTGTTCTAATCCAAGGGTCATGGGAATACGCCAGGCCCCCTGTTGGTGACTAAAGACACTGCGCCTTAATGAGAGAAGACCCAGGTCAGGGCAGTAAGGGGTCACGGGGCCTCCACTCTAGGCCTGCTTTCTGTTCAGTTTTAAGAGCTGACTTAAGAGTGGGAATCCCAGCATTACCTCTCCCCAGCTGGGATTCAGTTTAAGTACTTTCTGGCTGTTGCCAAGTCACTGGGATTCAAAAAAAACAAAACAGGTATTTATTGAACCTCTTCATTTTGGTGTAGTCATTGGAGGCCTTTTCCTTCTTCAGTTGGAAGGAAAAGACCTTTCCTTCTGTTGCTGTCTCTGAGGTAGATTCTGACCTGGTTTTTACAGAGGGCCTCACCCCTAACCCTCTGAGCTAAACGTTTGTTTCTCCAGGCTACACTCACCTTGATAGCCCTTGTGGAGCGAGGGACATGTTGGCTGCCTCCCCCTCACATGACACTGGCTGCTTTGGTTGAATGCCAGCAACCAGGAGTAGGCTGTCCAAAGATGGTCATGTTTCAACTGTGGATGAAAGGGCTACAAGAAAAAGCCCCTCCTTGAGGAAAATGGAGATGTAGAGGCTAGCTTAAAGATAAGGTTGGCTCAAGGTTGAGTAGATCTGGCTTGGTGCCTGTGGCTCAAGTGGCTAAGGTGCCAGCCACATACACCTAAGGTGGCAGGTTTGAATCCAGCCCAGGCCCACCAAACAACAATGATGGCTGCACCCAAAAAAAATATCCAGGCATTGTGGCGGGCTCTTGTGGTCCCAGCTAATTGGGAGGTAGAGGCAGGAGACTCACTTGAGCCCAGGAGTTGGAGGTTGCTGTGAGCTGTGATGTGACAGCACTCTACTCAGGGGGACAGCTTGAGGCTCTGTCTCAAAAAAAAGGGGGGATGAGTAGATCTTGGCTCAACTCCTGTAGCACAGTGGTTATAGCGCCAGCCATATACACTGAGGCTGGCAGGTTCAAACCCAGCCCATACCAGCTAAACAACAATGACAACTGCAACAAAAAATAGCCGGGTGTTGTGGTGGGCACCTGTAGTCCCAGCTACTTGGGAGGCTGAGGCAAGAGAATCTCTTAAGCTCAAGAGTTTGAGGTTGCTGTGAGCTGTGATGACACAGCACTCTACCGAGGGCTACATTGACTCTACTGAGTCAAAAAAGTATGAGTAGATCCTAAGTTACTTCCATGTTTCTATAAGAAGCTTTATGTCTTCTTCAAGATAAAGGCCATGTTCTACTTGGGAGGCTGAGGCAAGAGAATCACTTAAACCCAAGAGTTAAAGGTTACTGTGATCTGTGACACCATGGCACTCAAATGAGAGCGAAAAAAGATAATGGCCATGTTTGTTATAATCTTTATCACTTAACTATTTAACATGTGTAGAAGTAAAGCTATCCTGTTGCCTTTTTTTTTTTTTTTTTTTGAGACAGAGCCTCAAGCTGTAACCCTGGGTAAAGTGCTATGGCATCACAACTCAAAGCAACCTCCAACTCCTGGGCTCAAGCGATTCTCCTGCCTCTGCCCCCAAGTAGCTGGGACTACAAGTGTTCACCACAACACCTGGCTATTTTGTGGTTGCAGCCATCATTGTTATTTGGTGGGCCTGGGCTGGATTCGAACCCACCTGCTCAGGTGTATATGGCTGGTACCTTAGCTGCTTGCTTGAGCCATAGGCGTGGAGCCCGTTGCTTTTTTTTTTTCTTTTTTTTTAAGAGACAGTCTCACTTTGTTGCCCTCAGTAAAGTGCTATGGCATCACCGCTCACAGCAACCTCCAACTCCTGGGCTTAGGCGATTTCTTGCCTCAGCCTCCTAAGTAGCTGGGACTACAAGGTCCACCACAATATCCAGCTATTTTTTTGTTGCAGTTTGGCTGGGGCCGGGTTGGAACCCGTCACCCTCAGTATATGGGGCTGGCACCCTACCCACTGAGCCATAGGCATCGCCCCTCTGTTGTCTTTTTTTTTTTTTTTTTTTGAGACAGAGCCTCAAGCTGTCCCCCTGGGTAGAGTGCCTTGGCATTACAGCTCACAGCAACCTCCAACTCCTGGGCTCAAGCAAGTCTCCTGCCTCCGCCTCCCAAGTAGCTGGGACCACAGGCGCCCGCCACAACGCCCGGCTATTTTTTGGTTGCAGCCATCATTGTTGTTTGGCGGGTCCGGGCTGGGGATTCGAACCCGCTACCTTAGGTGTACGTGGCTGGCGCCTTAGCCGGTTGAGCTATAGTCGCCGAGCCTGTTGCCTTTTTTTTAAGAGTATCATTCATTAAGTTTTTGAGTGCTATACCTCAAGCTCCATTTTCCCCAAAAGCCCTATGGTTTTTGTTGTGCAGTTTTGCATAGCATAGTGATTTTCAAGAAAACAGGTCACCTTATAAAGCAGAACTATATTGGGGGCAGAGACCATTTATCTCACAAAGCCTAAATATCTTGCCCTTAACAGAAGACTTGGTGATCCCTGCTTTAGGCCATTGACTTCCACACCTCATTACATCAGAATCAGTCTAGAAATAGGCTTCTTCTACCCATACCACCACCCAAACCAAAAAGCCAAAGCCAGTTTTATTCCAGAATCTTTATTAAGGTAGCGTGATGGTCCTGGGCCACCAGCCTAAACCTTGTGGCCTTAGGAAAGACCTGTGTCAATAGGACTTGCCTCCCTCTCCAGCTGGGCTTGCCCAGCTCTAGGGCATCCCTGCATCATCCTGCCTAGAGGGTGGAGCAAGGGCCAAAGGGAGAGGAGGGCATGACCCAATTCCAGGCTGTAGCAGCTCCTTGGCCACAAAGATTCTTTAGCCAGTTGCAGAGGGGAGGGAAACAGCAACCACCAGGGTTACCACCATTTGTGGGATAGACAGGTCCCACTACACACTTACAGTTGTACTCAAAGCAATTAATAAATTAAAATAACTCCTTCCTTCAGCACCGAGCTCCTCAATCACCTGGGAGAAACTGAGCAGAAAGCAAAGCAAGGAGGAATACCATAGGTTTTTGCCCCTCTGGCCAAGACCTAGGCCCCTCCCTCTAGGAGCAGCCGTGAGCAAGGATTAAACGGGGCTTCCAAAGTATGCTTACAGGAGCCATCTAGACTGTTGCCCCTCACATGTCTTATCAGTCATGCCTGAAATTTCATCTTTGGAAGGACCCCAATCCAAATACAATAACCCTAGAAGGGACAACACCTTTAGAAGGCACTGGGGCATTTTGGCAATTGAGAACATGAGAGCCCTAGAGGAGGGAAGCCTCAGAAAAAATGCTGGTGCATGTATTTCACCTATTCCAATGTCTGACCAGCCTAGCCCACTCCCAGCTAGAGTCAGGGATGGAGCTGAGCTGGACAGATGCGAGGAGGAAGAAGAGGAGTTCAACTAGCCTCCCATACACAATCATGGCTGGTCAGGCCCCTTAGTGCACACGCAGGGATAGGTAGGACCTGACCCCGTTGGGCTTTGGGGGGGAGGAGAAACAGGAACCCGCTCAGGCTTCAGATGTGGTAGTTTGTTCCTGGAGGCAGGTAGATGGTGGCAGTGGCCCCTTCTCTGCTTAGTGGCCACTGGAGGGGGCCTCTCCAGGGCTACAGGTGAATGGCTGTGACATCTGTGGGAGTGCTGGTCTGGGTGGGCCCCTGGCTGCTGGAGCCCCGGGGGGCTTTGGGTGCTGGGCTGGAGCTGGTCTGAGCGGCTTCCCTAAGGCTCTCTCTGAGCGCAGCTTCAATCTGCTCTTGACAGGCCCGCAGGCAGTCCTAGGAACACAGGGGAATAGTGAGGAGGGACTGCTCCCCCCAACAACATCTGACAGCAGGAGTGGGGGAAGGATACCTCCCAGCACACAGGGAAGTCAGGGGAGGTTAGGCCACAGCCCAGCCCCAGGAATTGGTCTTCAATTCTCAGAAACTGGCAAGAGGATGTGGCAAGAGGGTGTGAGAGCAACCGTGCATCTGACACCAAATCCCCCACCCCCTCTCCAGCACACCACTTGGCAAGAAAATGGCACCCAGGGCCAGCACCCTTAACCCTACCCAAGATACTTGGCTCTTCTTCAGACCAAGGCAGAAGATAAAAAGCCACAGAAGCCCCAGGGCTGTGAAACCAGGACCTGGAACCAGACTGGTGTGGATGCCTCCCTCTACTGGAGACTTAGGGGACAACGCTACCCAGCACTCACCACTTCAGTGCCTGTGATCCCTGCCAGCAGCTCGGTGAGCTCCTCCCCAGAGGTGGAACAGGCACCCAGGCCTTGCACTGCAGCCCCGATGCTGCCCGTTGCGATCATGGATGGTGGGTACATGGCAAAGGTGTAATCTTAGAGAAGAGAGGGAACCATGAGGCAAGGAAACCTCAAGGATAACAGTCAATGTGGAGTTCCTACTCCTCTGAAAGTGCTAGGCAGCATGAATAGAGCAGGGGGCTTACTAGACAACCCCAGCAGGGAGTGAGGAAAGATGTCAGGAAGGGAGAAAGGCAAGAGCCTCTAGAGAGTATCAGGATAAATAGCAAATTTACATAGGTCTAGGGTGGAGCTGGCCAGGGATCAGGGGATAAGTGAGATCCTACCTAGTATGTAAGGGCCTCCATTCATAAGTGCGAATTGAAATGCCCCTTATGGAAACAAAAGTAGAGCCAAGAGAACTAGGTCCTGCTTCCCATTTACTGTGAGACTTTGGGCAAGTCACCTTTCTACATCCTCTGTGTCCTCCCTATACACTGGGGGTCTCTGAGATCCTGCCTCTGATTATAATCTTTTCTGTATTAAGACTGCGGGCAGAGGGGATATAATTTTTACAAATGAATTTTGAGAGGAACATAGGCTGGGATCTTCTATTACAGTTATTACTCATCCTTAAGAGTCTTCTGGTTTTTCCAAATTGGCAAAAAGGTGCACAGGGCTCTTACCTGTAGCACAGAGGGCCAAGAAGGTCTGGGCGTGCTTTTTAACCAAGGCCTGTCGATCACTGGGCAGAGAGAGTCGGTGCAGAATCAGGGCTAGGAAATCATGAGCAATCACAGCAGCCAGGTCCCATTTGAGCTTCCCAAGGACCAGCACCTCCCAGTCCTGAGTGATGGAGAAAATGGTGAGGTCATCAACTAGAGAAGGTAGGGGAGGAGCAAAGAGCAGTCTCAGAGAAGGAAGCCCGCCGAACGTCTGAAGCTCAAGACCCTAGTTCTGCTTCTTTTTTTTTTTTTTTTTTTGAGACAAACTCTCACTTTGTAGAGTACTGTGGCATCATAGCTCACAGCAATCTCAAACTCTTGAGCACAAGTGATCCTCTTGCTCAGGGTGGTCTGGAACTCTTGAACTCAAGCTATCCACCCACCTCAACCTCCCAGAGTGCTAGGATTACAGGCATGAGCCCTTGCTTCTGGTTTTAATACCTGGCACCATGGAGTCCCAGACAGAGAAGAGCTGCAGGGATTTACTTTGAACATTTATTGATCAGTTGCCTAGGTGGCAGGGCAACATGCTCTACATACATTATCCCTTCTAAGTCTGTCTGATTATCTTTAAGGGGCCAATGATCAGGACTTCATTCAGGGCTCTGAGGATTTCTCCAGCCAAGGTTGTAAGACTGACACAGATACCACCAACATCACCATGAACTTGAGGATCCTTTGGGATGAAGCAGAAAGAAATTTCCAAACTCCAAAGAATATGGAAGGGAGACCACCAGAATATGAAAGGGGAGATCACCACTAAGTCTCCCCACCCCCAACCCTGCATCTCAACCAAGTCCACATGTCTTAAATACACAGGAGTAAGCATGAAGCCACTCCTCCTATGACACAGCCACTCAAGTCTCTTCTGAGGTTCCTCAAATGGAAGGTTGCTTAACCCAACCCACATCCCCTTAGTGAGACATCAGGGGTGGGTCCTGAGGTAGAGCATCCCACCCCACTCCCTTCAGATGGAACCCATGGTCTCCAGTGCCACTTAACTCTCATGAGGATAAGTGGAGGCTAAGCCAGACAGGATGGATCCAAGTTATCTCTAAGGGACCAAACCCTATTTCCAACCCAAGCCTATATACCAATTCAAGGTCTTAGAGGAAGGCTGAGAGCTTCCCTCCAATCCATTCTTCTAGTGCTCTCAGACCTGGCCCCATTTCCAAGTTGCACACATGAGGATTTCTTCATTGTTTTATCTCAGGAAGGAACTTGTGGGTTTGACTCCTTATTGAGGCAGAAATGGCAACCCCACCCAACCTCTTCCAGGCCCACAGCCACAGCTGTCTCTCTCCTCGCCCTGGTCTAGGTGTCAGCCTCTCAGATCAGCCCCAACCTCTCATAGGGCCCCAAAGAAAATAGCTTGGCCTGGAACCAAAAGAAATCAGGCAGAGAACCTAGGATTCTTTCAGTACTTATCCCAGTAGCCAAACTCTTTAATTTAGGAGTCAACATAAAGGATCCAGCCCCCTATAGGGAAGTATGAGGTCCTGTGTGAGGAAGGTGGCCACCCTCCCCCATATCTAGGGAACCTCTAAGAATCCCAGCCCTACTTGGCAGAGAACATACCCCTGGGAGTGATTAGCTTCAATGGCTGGCAGCATTCATCACATCCCTAAGTTTTAAGCCAACCTGGTCTAGCTAGAAGACTCAGATTCTGTGCTGCTCAGTGCAATGCTGAGGAAGGAATCTTCCCTCTTTCCTTGGGTCTCAGCCTTCCTCTGCTGCACAAGCACTTGGGAGTACTCAGAGGTTTCTTCTGACCTTCTTGAAGTCTTTTGGAGGCTCCACCCCCCAGACTCAGGCAGGAGTCAGAGATGAGTACTTTTTATGTGTTCTGAAAAATTCCCCTCACACACAGGCATGTCCACACCCCAATCTTTTCACCAAAAAGAAGCCCCCTTCTACCTTCTAGGCCCAATCCCTCTAAAAACATCTTGTTCTCTGGCCCTCGAAACTAGTCCCACCCTCAGACTTGCCAAAAACTACCAGATTCATCGCAAAAGAGCTGTGGAGCCTCCTGGATTCCCAACTCAGGCCTCTTAGTCCCATCTCTGAGCTACTTGGCAGGAAGAAGAATCCTGTTCCTCACAGCAGTCAGGGGCCCCAGTACCCTGGCTTTCCCACCAGCCAATCATAGCAGCCTGCTGCTGCCCTCCTCCCTGGGAGATGGACCCCACAATGTCCTCTCAGGGTCAGAAGACTTGGCTGGCCACAGAGCAAGGTGAAGGGAGGTGCCACTCTCTCCTCTCAGCCCCCTAGGAGATGATCTGCAAGCCTCAAATAACCTCTTCCAAATCCAAGCAACTCCCCCACCTCCTTCCCAGGCTGCTTCTGAGGCAGGACAGAACCAGTGAGTGACTTTCCTGCCCTGCCTCAAAGGAGCCTAGACCAAGTTCCCAGCAGGAGGCTCTGGGAGCCACTTCCCAAACCACAGGAGTGACAGCAGCTCCCCACAGGGTTATGAAAGACCTTGGTCAGAGTCAGCCGGGCCGGGGGAGGGGCACCATTATCACATCGGAAGCAGCTGCAGCTCAGCTCCCTGTCTGTCCCTCAGCTTGAACCTTTGGCTAAGGGGGAAAGGGAGAGATGTTTCCACCAGACCCAAAGCAGCTGCTCCAGTTCCTCAGAATGAGGACAGGGAAGGGAGGATTAGGAAGAAGCTATCTGTACTGGGATATAAGGGGAAGGAAAGAAGGTGGGATGAAACAAGTCAGCCCTTCCTTAAAGTAATCAGGGCCTGGCTTTAATCTACTCTGGGAGGCTTTTCTATCAAAGTCCACTTGGGGATAAAGGCTCAACCAAGGCAGCCCCCCTCCCCCACATGAAACACATTCCACTCTCCCACTCCAGTGGGGGTGTGCAGGCATGCCCTTCTGCTGCCAATAAATAACTCATGGTGTCTGTGTAAACCCAGAGGCAAAGTACTAGTAAGCGAGACATGCAGTTTGACTTGTTGCTATCTGGGGGAAAGACCAGGAAGGAGTGGCATCCTCTGGAGGTCAGGAGAGGGTTTAGTTCATGGCTGCACCGCAAGCGCAGGCTGAGCTACCCCAACCACAACACCAGACTATCCCCTCTTCTCCCACCCCAATTTCTTTCTAGAAAAGGCTCAGGGAGCTTGCCTTGCCCCCAAGGAGGCAGAAAGCCACTGAGGTCTTAGCTTTCCCTATCTTGGGAAGTGCTGAGACGATATGCATTAGGAGTGGGAGAAATTACAGACGTACCCGCAACTGGCGGGGAGAGACAGCATGGTCGGTGTAGATGCAGAGTTTTTCGATGGTCAGGGGCGTGGTCTCGCGCAGCTTGGAGGCTAGCAGCATGCAGACCGCACCCAAGAGCTGCAACTGCGCCTTTCGGGTGGGGACGCAGGACAGGTAGCGATCCAAGTAGTTCATGGCCAGAGGGAAGACTTCCTCCTCACAGCGCTGCTCCTCACACACCTGGGGAAGGGCACACAGTCACTGCTGGGGCAGGAACACAGGAAACGCAGCAGCATTAAGAGGGAGAGGGGTGCTAAAGGGAGGTGGAATGGGAAGCAAAAACCGGGAGAGAGGGTAAACTACTTATAGTGACAAGAACCATTATCAGAGGAGTATGTGCCCTCCCCAACGTGACGCCCCCCACTTCCTCTGCGTAGCCGCCTTTCCTCTGTCCCCTTGGGACTGCCTTTCAGGGACTCCCCACCTTATGAAAGATTCCAGAGACTTCCTTCTCACATAGCGAGGGGAAGTGGCACGAAAAGGCACCTGTGGTACCCGAAGGGCTGGGACCTTACCCCCCCATTACCCTCGCCACTGCACACACCCGAGGGGAAGGGAGGAGACTCCTGCAGCTGCCTCCGTACTTTTCATTTCCCTGTCGGCCGGAACAGGGCGCGCGCCACCCCCACCGCCTTCCCCGCCAGAACCCCGCGACAGGCACAGGAACCGGCTCTGGGGCGGGGGCGGCCGAGTCCAAGGTTTTCCAATCGCGCTCTGCTGAGAAGACTAGGCGGGGGAGGGAAGCAGGAGACACTGAGAGAAGCCGAAGAGCAGAGGTGTCCCTTGTCCCGCTTTCTTGGCCCGAAGAGATTTAAGAGTGCCAAATGTCTGGCAGTCACAGTCAGAAGGAGCTGATTAGGGCTGGGAAAGGGAAAAGGAGAGCACAGAGGCTGCGGACTAGGGTGCCCTAGTGAAAGGCCAGAACCTGGGAGTCTGAGCCACAGGAGCATCCTACAAATTGCTACTGGGACCAGGATGTCCAGAGCCGGGGGCAGCGGAAAAAGGGAGACCGGTCTGGGCGATACCTCCAGCATCCAGTATGCCAGCATCTTCCGCATGTGCGGCTTGATCTCCCTCTGCACGCACTGGAAGTAGGAGGCGCGGGGCACGTAGCGCTCCTCCAGGCGGAGCAAGCTCTGCAAGACACGCTGGTCCCCTAGCAGCCGCGGGTCAGGCCCAGCCCGGGGCGCGTGCCGGGTGCTCTCGCAACACAGCAACTCCATACTCGGGCAGCGCAAGGGCAGGACGGGAGCGCGGGCTGGCGAGTCAGAACGCAGGCGGCGGGACTGAGAGCGTGGGGCGCGGGTCTGGCGCTGGCACTGCGCTGCGGAGCCCCAGCCCGCCCGCGCCCGCGAGCGTCGCTTTGCTGACAGGCGCCCCGCCCCTCGCGACGATGTAGCAACAGAGGAATGCTAGGACGTCGCAACGTTCCAAGGGGCGGGGCTGCCGGCGCCCCAGACGGAAAGGGCTGGCGGGGCGCTCGCCCCTCCCTCCCGGCCGTCCAATTGGTCCGCCAAGCCCAAGCCGGCCGGCTTCCGGGCACTCGGCGCCCTCTTGACCACCGGGGTAGAGAGAACGTTCTAGGAGGTGGGTATCTTCCCCACCCAAGGGGACCGCCCATTTGGCTCCTCTGTAATCACCCAGCAAAGAACTTTCCTCCAAAGGTCATTCATTCATTTATTCATTCGTTAAGCCCTATTTCACCGGCTGCCTGCTGTAAGGAATGTAATAAATAATATAAGAGCTGATTCTTAGTGCATGTTTTTCTAAAGCACTTAATATGCAATAACATTAAATCTTGATGAAAACTCAAAAACTGAGGCACAGTAACTGTACCAATCATACAGTTAGTCCATTGAAGATCTAAGATTGGGAACCTCGCCATTTTGCTCCAGATTCTGTGCTCCACACCATTGCTACTTATGCTGTGATTCCCCAGACTTAACCCATGGGCTAGTAAGGAATACTGACCCCTGACCTGCTGAGTCACAATCTGCATTTTAACTGGATTCCTGTGCACTTTGAAGTATGAAAAAATTGCAGCATTTAGGGTATTGTGTGTGTATATATATGTAAAATATATATGTACAGGCTCTGGGCCTGTAGCTCAGCAGCTAGGGCACCGGCCACATGCTGCCGATTGGAAACCCTGCCAAACAACAATGACAACTACAACAACAAAAATGGCCGGGCGTTGTGGCGGGTGCCTGTAGTCCCAGCTACTTGGGAGTCTGAGGCAAGAGAATCGCTTAAGCCCAAGAGTTTGAGGTTGCTGTGAGCTGTAATGCTACAGTACTCTACCGAGGGCAATTTAGTGAGACTCAGTCTCAAAAAAAAAAAAAGCATTATATTTTTAGTACAGACTGGGTCTCACTTTTGCTCAGGCTGGTCTTGACTCAAGCAATCCACCCGCCTCAGCCTCCCAGAGTGCTAGTGGTGGCTCACGCCACCACTCCTGGCTTACATACCCATTTTCAAATGAGATCATCAAAAACTGTTTTGCGGGGCGGCGCCTGTGGCTCAGTGAGTAGGGCGCTGGCCCCATATACCGCGAGTGGCGGGTTCAAACCCTGTCCCAGCCAAACTGCAACAACAACAAAAAATAACTAGATGTTAGGGTGGGCGCCTGTAGTTCCAGCTACTCAGGAGGCTGTGGCAAGAGAATCACCTAAGCCCAAGAGCTGGAGGTTGCTGTGAGCTGTGACGCTAGGGCGACAAAGTGACACTCTGTCTCAAAAAAAAAAAAAAACTGTTTTGTAACCCCTATGCACTAAAAAAAAAGAAATAAGTTAACATTTTTCCATATTATTAATTATTCTACAACATCATTTTTAATGGCTACATAATTAACCATTGGGTGAATATATTATAATTTCTTTTACCAAACCTGTATTGTTGAAAACTTAAATTGTTGCTAGTTCTATTAATAATAATACTGCATAACCTTTTTGTAGTAATATCTTTGTGCACACTCATGATTGTTTCTAGAAGTGGAATTTCTCAACTTAAGGTTATGAAACATTCTAAGGCTTTTGATACAATTCTTCTTGCCAAATTTTCCTGCTGAAAGGCTGAACCAATCTACTTTTTTTTTAGAGACAGTCTCACTTTATCACCCTAGGTAGAGTGCTGTGGCATCACAGGTCACAACCTCCAACTCCTGGGCTTAGGTGATTCTCTTGCTCAACCTCCCAAGTAGCTGGGACTACAGGCACCTGCCAGAACACCCAGCTATTTTTTCTTGCAGTTTGGCCAGGGCAAGGTTACAACCCAACACTCTCCGTATATGGGGCCGGTGCTCTACCCACTGAGCCACAGGCACCGCCCCACCATCTACTTTTTAAAACTACTCTGCCAAATGGAAAGGAAAAGTAGTTAGTAATGATCTATTTTGGCATATTTATTAGACATTTACACATTTCTTATTTAAATTATCTATTCATATGGGTAGAGTGCTATGATGTCACAGCTCATGGGCTTAGCCAATTCTCTTGCCTCAGCCTCCCAAGTAGCTGGGACTACATGTTCCAGCCAGAATGCCCAGCTATTTTTTTGTTGCAGTTTGCCAGGGATGGGTTCGAACCTGCCACCCTTGGTATATGGGGCCAGCACCCTACTCACTGAGCCACAGGTGCCTCCCTAATTTTTCTATTTTCAGTGAATAAAGGACATTGTTATTTTATTTATGGGGTTGGAAGGGGGTCTCCACTTTGCTCAGGCTAGTCTCCAACTTCTGACCTCAAGCAATCTTCCCACCTTACCTCCCAGAGTGTCAGTATTATAGGCATGAACCACCACACCCGGCGTACATTTCTTATTTAAATTACCTATTCCATCCTTTGCTCAGTCTTTTCTTCGAATGTTTGCTTTCTCTTATTGATTTTAAGTACGCATTACATTTCAAGGATATTAACCCTTTTTAGTGATTTTTTTTTTTTTTTTT